GAGGATTTGCAAGTTATATTACAATTCTATTATTGGAATAAAATATACCAATACTAAATATAATAATAATTGTATAGTGAGTTGAGAGTAATTCTATAGATGACAGATGTTACATTTTAGGTTTTTCAAATTTTGAATACAAGGAATGAAAAGAGAGTATGTAAATAGATTTTGATTATTAAATTTGGAAGATTGACTTGGTAATTTTTAGATTAGTTCATAATGGTTGAAACAAAGAAACTGTAAAATTAGTAGATGGTTTAACTGTTTAAGTAATTGACTAGTGTTTAAGATGAAGATCTATTTCAAAAAACGATGAATTATGACTGATTTTACTACTTGTCTAGATTTATTACACGTGAAATGATTAAGATGACATATAGGTGATAATTTTATATTAATATCACATTTTTAATATGTGATTTCATCCCTTACATAGTATTTTTGATATATTGTGATTAATAATACAAATTGAAAGTAAGTGAGTAGTTTTCTTTCCATTTACTCACATTTCAAAATTATAAATAGATAAGGGAAAAAAACTTCAAGCATCTGTTAAACAATAGTTTTAATTTTCTTCTAAAATCTTCTAAAGTATTCGGCTTTATGTTGCATTCATTGTAAAACCATCGTTTTGGTGAATAAACTTTACTTTTATACAAAAAAAAAACAATAGTTTGATGGAGCTTTGACAATAAGTTTTCTCTTTTTCATTTTTATCCTCGAAACTAAATCTAATCATTATAATTATTTACCATATATATTTGGCACCATATACTGTATAGACTTTGCTAGCGGAATTTGCTATCAATTGATAAAAGAAGAAGAAATCAAATGCAAATTGCATACTAGGATAAAAATCTGTCACAATTGATGATTGTTTTTTTTTTTTGGTAATAATGTGAAGAAGAATTATACCATTTTTGCAAATTTTTGACCGAAGTTAGAGAGGAATACAAGTAGTAGTCAACAACAAGAAAGCAAAGCAAAAACTACACTAGTAGTGTCTAGGGAATAAACACCGATATGATAGTTAATAAGATCATAACAAGTATAAACAAATGCAGAAAAGAAGAAGAAATCAAATGCAAAGATAGAAAAAAATAGGTTTATTTGGATGTTGCTAATAATAACTGAGTAATATTTAACCTTGTACCAAAAAAAAAAAAAAAAAAAACTGAGTAACAACCAATGGCGGGAACAAACGGTTGGAAACTGCCACTAGGAAAAAGGCGGTTCAAGAAAAATACATGAACGCCAATTCTGGGCAGATACAAAACAAAACAAAAAAAACAACACAGCTGCGGAAAAAGAAGACAAGAGATTTCTCAACATATTCTCTTCTCTCTGCAACTGCAATTATGACTGTACATTGAGAAACAAAAAGTTTCATGGATCAAGAAAAATAGTTACAGAGGATTTGCTTTGTAGAAGAAACCGATGTCTGGATTGAATCATCTTGGTGTCTCAAGTATTTGAAGCAAGATAATTATTGTTGTGAACCATCACCACCAGTTGAGAGTTTTGTGTAATCAATTGCAGAGTCACCTGAGAATTGTAATGACATTTAAAGCACAGAAATTTTAAACCGATATTTTCGGTAATGGTTTAACCCGAGGTGAGGACTAGGAAGGACAAATTTAAATGCTAATAACAAAGGCTTACTTCGGGTAGAGTCAGTTGATGAGCGTGGTGGCGAAATGCCTCCTTTGATATCTGCATTAATGTTTACAAGAAACTATGAGAAAGGTAGGCTAAATGCCGTAATCCGCAAAAGAAATGGAAAAAAAAAAACAGTTTTTGCACCTAAAGAATGGCGAGAACCACGGACCGCGTCAAAGTTTCTGTATGTATAGCCCACAAAATTGATATTTTGAGGGGTTATGCTCACCTATGAGCAAAATCAAAGTTCCAGTAGATCGATAAGTACAAAGCAAGACCCTCGGAATAAGCGAAACGTTATAAGATTTTCCTGATAATTATGGTACCTTCCACGACGGTCCAGATCCTGTTCTTGCTGGTCTTGGACACTCCACCTAAGGAAAGAATCGGAATATGATACCACTGAAAAAGAGGATATGAACTTTTTAATCCTTGAGATGGCGGACTTTTACCTCATCGAATTTCATAAAATTCTGGGTATCAAGTTCTCCATTGACCACTGGCTTAAAAGCTGCATCCATCTCATAGAGTTTTTCCCATTCCACATCTTTGAACCAAGGATGAGCCTAGATGTGTCTTGTTTTGTCAAAATGAATATAATAGACAAAGAGAAGAGTGAACAGTCTTTATTATTATATTTTACATACTTTGATTTGCTCGGCTCCGGCTCCATGAGAACCAAGCCTATGCTCAGAATCACAAAGCAACCTACAAATGAGATCTCTTGCCTCAGGTGTCAACCTTGCGTCCTCGGGGAATACTAAATGAGTTCTCCAGCTCACAATCTAAATTCCATCAAATGTCAATTTTACGATAGAGATATAAAAGATGTGAAAGATCCTAAGAGAAACAGAGCCAACATAATAAGCTTCCACCATCTTAAACTCTCATTTTAACATCAACAAGAAATTCAAAATGATATAAGAGCAAAGTGGAAACTACTGTAAATTTAGTTACAAATAGACCTTTCTACATGTTGTTACGGGGTCATCGGAGTAAAATGGTGGATAACCGACAAGCATCTCATACATAATGGCCCCCAAAGACCACCTGCAGTCAAATGAATGCATACGAGTCGATGAAAGAAAATAAATATGTGTTGAACTAGTAGATAAGCAGCAAGAAAAGATGAAAAGCTGATCATGAATAACCCTATTGATATAGTAAGGAAGGGTTCTATGGGGAATAATCTATAAGATAATTTCGGTGACCCACCAGTCACACTCTACACCGTATCCCTTCTTCAGCAACACCTCAGGTGCAATATAATCGGGGGTACCTACCGTAGAATATGCCTGTTTCAAAACAAGAGCACACAAAAGCCAGGGCATTTAGAAATAAACCCAAAGGAGCATTTTTTAAGCATACCCCAATTGAGATATGAATAAAAGAGTGATATCATAAAAAAAAAGTTTAAAACAGAGTTTTGTACTATACCAGTTTTCTTCGGTTTATCTGCCAATGCTGCAGCTGTTCCAATGGGCTCTTCCAACGCCTTCCACGACGTCCTATCGAGCAGTTCTCATCACCATCGATTGATTCATTTATATTCTCATCATTCAAAGGTTCATTTACGTTCATAGCCGAAATATTTCTACAATCGAGAGGCTTACAAAGACCAAAATCCGACAGCTTCATATGACCATTCTTGTCCAACAGAAGATTGTCTGGTTTTATATCCCTGCAAAAGATCCACCTCAAATATATATACAATTTAATTCTCCATTCGACATGATGTGACCAGAAACAAGTAGTCTAACCTGTGAACATAATTATGCTCATGTATCGACTCAATAGCCAAAACACTTTGGGCAATGTAAAACCGAGCCACGGTTTCAGTCAAAGTCTCTTCCCTCATAAGCAAAGTCATCACATCACCACCAGACAGATACTCCATGATAAGGTACAAATATTCTGGATCTTGGAACGAATAATAAAGCTTCACAATACAGTCACTAGCAACTTCTGCTAGCAAGTTCCTCTCAGCTCTCACATGTTCAACCTGTTAAGAACGATCAAGAGAATGGGTATCCTAGACTTAAAGACCGAAATTTTATGCATAAATATAACAAAAATGAAATAATTGTAAGACTCACTTGCCCCCTACTAAGCATTTCAGACTTCTTTAGCTTCTTCATGGCATAAATGTTGCCTGTCTTTTTCTCACGGCATAGTCTTACCTAAGAAAGATACCACATTGACAAATAGTTAAAGTGGCGTTCTAATAACAACAAATGTTCAAAATTGGTAATACCCAAAAAGACTAACCTCACCAAAAGCCCCTCTACCGATAATACTCAGAAGATCAAAATCATCAACGCAAAGCCTGTTCCTCATTAATCTAGTATACTCTGTCTCTTTCCTCTGCAAATCCTCCAGCAACTCGAGTTGTTCTTTTTCTGATACATCTAAAGATGCAATCTTTTGTTCTAGCACCAAACGCCTGCAAATCAAAAGAACAAAATTTCCATTGATACTTTGAATAAAACAGTTGTAAATATACATCTTTGGATCAAAGACCTCACATTATTTAACAAAAATATCATAGCTCCTAAAACAACACCATTCAGATATTAGAAAACAAAACCCAAACGAAAATTACGTGAAATTCTGCAACACACCACATATTATTCTTCTTTTAGGAATATCAACAAACAGATGATGTGCAAACAAATTACCTTTCTTTACGTTGTTGAATATGTCTCATGCGTCTATTGTAATGGTTTTCAATATACTTCTTCGCTGCAGCAACTTTCTCCAATGTCGAATTTGAAACCAACCCTTCATCCTCAAAACTATCCTCAGCATCCAACGTCACCTTCGCCACCACCACCTCCTCGTCCTCTTGATTCTCCATTTTTTTGTTCTCTCCCAAGAAAAAAAAAAACAATTCCTTTGCTTTTCTATAAACTCAGAGAATCTCTCGCATTTCTCTTCCCTTGGTCAATTGTGAGAATAATATGATTGCGAGAACGAAAACAAGTCTCTTCTTCTCCATCGATCAATGGCAATTTACAAGTTTGGATTTTGTAATTCAGAAAAAAAGAATCAGGAATTATTACCTGGAAATTTTTGGTTTTACTATTTTTGCTATATTCAGAAAAAAGAAAGATTAAACAAATCTACAAATCAAGACCCGACACGTAGAGTGGATTGAATGAAATTTAACTAAAAAACTTAAATTTGCAGATCTATTATAAATTGTATTTACATTTTATAAATAATACAATCAGCTATATTTAATATAAAATAACTTTAAAAATTGTAAAACATTATGATTTGTAAAAAATTATGAAAACACATGTAATAATTTCATATAGAAACCAAATATAATATTCAACAAACTAAAATTTTCATTTTTATGGGTTTACAAACATAATCCAAACCACATAACGAAATTTTTTGGTCTATCACAATTTACAAACCATATATTAACATGCATATATAACTAAATATAATGCAACTTCAAATAAAAGAAAATTTACAAAAAAAACTCCAATGAGAAATATTAGCCAGTTATATTAACAATATCATTAGAAAACCGGACTCTTGATTTCCAATCGCGAATCGCAGACCGGAGTGTATGGTTCGGTGTGAGCTTGAAGTGGTCGAGCTTTTGTCGCGTCACTGGTGAAATGTTGTGTCTCTCAAGCCACGCTAAGATCGCTTTCCTCTCGTACGTGAATCCATCAGCAGCAATCTCTGGCTCCTCCATTATCTCCTATATCAATAATATACTTCAAAATCAAAAACCGGTTATTAAAATTGTGTACCGAACCAGGTGACCTTTTACTCACCCGTAAGATTGGACAGAAGTAATGACTCGGTGCACGTAAATTGCTTCCTTCTTTCTTTATTTTCGAATTTGCCGTCTCCACAAGCCGTTTCAAAACCGGTATAACCTCTGATTTAAGATCCGGTCTATCTCGGCATCGAAATTCTGCACATTTCAAACCGATCCGAGCCAATTCCTCGGTTTCTGCCAAAGGCCAATCAGTAACCGATTTATCTAGCATTTCGGTTAACGTCCCTTTCTTTACCGCGTTTTCGACCGCTGGTACAAGTCCGCTCGGTTGACGAGCCGTCAACAGCTGAAGAATAATTATGCCGAACGCGTAAAGATCCGATTTTGGTCTAATCGTTCCGGTTCGATGGTATTCCGGATCAATATAATGCAATGTACCGGCAAGAACCGAGTTTTTGTACATCGTGACATTATCCGGTGCAACATCCGTAACCAGCTTGGCTAGTCCAACGTCAGCAATTTTGCTCACGTAGTTCCGGTTTAACAAGATGTTTCCCGGTTTTAGATCACGGTGAACAATTGGTTCCGGTTTAGAGCTGTGTAAGAAGGCTAAACCGCAAGCTACCTCGAAAATTACCCTAAACCGGATAAACCAAGGCAAAGGCGGTTTATTTTTGCGGTGAAATATAAATTCCTCGAGGCTTCCATTTTCCAAATACTCGTAAACCAAACAACCATTCTCCGGACAAGCTCCGAGGAGAAGAACCACGTGTGGGTGTCGGAGTTGGCTTAGAACCTCAACCTATAGAGTAATAATACCAAACCGGAAATAAATCAACCGTATCAAATTAAAAACTTAACCGAAACCAGACATATTTTAATTTCTTGAACTATAGTTACCTCTTTCAAGAACTCCTGTTTCTTCTCCGGCGTATCAAGCCGGACAACCTTAACAGCTGCCGGAGTACTATCAAGGCTACATCGGTAAACTTTTCCGTATCCTCCTTCGCCAATCACTTTCTCTGGCGAGAATCCTTCTGTGGCTGTTACAATATCCTCGATTGAGTATTTTCTATACCGGTGATCAGTTCCCAAAAGCTGATCGATCACTTTCTTCTTCTCCAAGTAAGTCCTTAAAGCATTGACTTCCGCTATCTGTCGCTGACAAAACTCTCTTGCGAGCAATGCTTTCGCGGTTTCTACCTCTTTCACCGCCTTCATGTACCGCTCTTTCTCCAGCGCCGCGGTTTTCCTCTCCAACTCTTCTTTCTCCACGGCATTGTTCACTCTTTTAGCTTCTTTCGAACATTCGGTCGAAAGCATTTGAACCTAGTAGAAACCGCAAAATAAATACTTTACTTGGAGAAAAAGCAAGCAAAATGATTCACCATTGAGTTTGGAAAACTATTTATACAAAAACAAGAAAATCATATATAAAATAAACACTCCTTTCACTGTTAGGTTTTGATGGCCATCACAAAAATACACATTTTTCTTCCCAACTTATCTCTAATCATTTTCTTGTGGAAACTATTTAGGGTTCAAGATCAGAAATATGTACCTTGTTTTGTGTGGAGAAAAGCTCTTCACAAGCTTGTTTATATTTAGCGACTGTACTTTGTAGCTCCTTCTTCAAACGTTCGACCTCTGATTCAATCTCAACCTGTCAAACAACACCAAATCTTTCAAAAACCTCGGTTACGTTTAACTAGCTAGTCTCATCATTGCACCAAAAGATGATAGTAAAGTAACCTTCTTGGATTTTCTTGATGTTCCCGGGGGTGAACGATCAGAGTCTCTATGCTCGCTAACGATGTTCTCAAGATTTGATTGGGGTTTAGTACATGTTTGATCAAAATCTGAGTAATTTAGCTGTGGAATATCGGATCCTCCACGCCGCCTAATAATCTCTGGAATTGTTTCAATAGAAGCCTTACTACTTTGAGGCGTTTTGGGTTTATTACAAGTGAGGCTTAATGCCTCAAATCTCAGCTCTCTTGCCGATGCTGACCTCCTCGTGCCTGCCTCTTCAACACCCAAAAGAAAGAAAGAAAGAAAAAAAACCCTCAGGCCTTCGTGGAGATCATTTTTTTTTGTTATAATGGTTAATCACGGCTTTCATAGACATCTTCGTTTATAATATGAATCTCTTATCGATAGATGCATGTTAGTTGCAAATTTCTTCATAAAATAAATTTATGGTTATAAGAGTTATAAGATTATGCAACTACTTATTGTGTTAATCAAGATTATGCAACTAGTTGTTGTTAATTTTTCTCAAAACTTAGGTTTAAGTCAAAAATTTAACCTTCAAAATTATTAACTTTTGTTCGTTTCAAGAATGTACAAAATTGAAAATTTACTATATATTAAAACAACCTAAAACCGCAATTTCGTAGGATTATGTATAATTTACCAGTGGACTGTCGAGGCTCGGATAATGATGGAGACCGTAGAGTGTGGAAACTAGCCGCCCAGTCTTTCAAGAAGTCATGGGTAGTCGCGGCTGCGAATGGACTTGTGCACGGCTCTGATTATAAGAAGGTTAACATGATTAAAGAGAAGTTTAAAAAATGAAAAAGTATTGTGTTTTTGAATAAAATTTAACAGCGATTAAGAAATTACATCAAATATACATTTAGTATTACAAAAAAAAAATCCTAATTTTTACCTCTGTTGATTAATGGATCCATAGATTTTGTAGTGATTCTGTCTTTACACACAATGTATACTTCACATGTTTCTGGTGCGTATTTTAAGACAGTCAATGGTACTCCTGGACCTCTTGCTCTCCTAAACCAAAAAATAAATGGCCTGTTAGTGTATATAACCGAGTTGATTAAGAAAACGTAAAGCAAACCGAGCTATGTAAATTTACCGTGTGAATATATTTGATGCAAATGATCCCATAACCAAACTGTTAACTCCTGATTTAGATATGAATCTGAGAAGTGCTTTTGCAGGATCGTCGTACTCTAGCAACAGAGTCTCTACCTGACACTGAAGGTTACAATAATTCAAGGAAATTACAGTTTGACCCTAAAACTTCCCTAGATTTATATTTATAAACAGAAGACAAAACTAAACCAACCTTGGTACTACTACTAGTCTTGCATATTTTCAAGAAGGGAACAAAGACTGTTTCAAATTCTTTTTTAACGTCTCTTACATACATTTCCACCACACTCTCCTCCACTTCTTCCACCGGCAATCTCTCTCCGTCTACAACAACGGACATTCTCGTAAACATTTATCTCAAAAATTATCGTTAACTAGTCCATTCGCGACCAAACTACATTCATATATTTGATATCAAAATTTGACTTATTAATATTTGGAAATAATGATCGTTTTGACCTCAAAAACAGACTACCAAATTATTTTTGATTTTCTACCTACATGTTTTATTTGGTGTGAAGGAAACAAAAACAAAAATGAGTTCTGTCTTTTGGCTATAAATTAGTTGTCGATTCATTGCCAAGATTATCTAGAATTCTTTTCTCAAATAAATTTCGGAAAAATTAATTATGATAAAAATATAATTCTTATTATTTCACGTTTGTAAATCTGTTTAAGTATCGTTTTTTCTTATTTTATTGTGTCTATTGGTGTGTTTTGTTTTGTTTCTTTTATTTTATACAAGTCACATTAGTCTTAAGAATACAAAAACAAGAAAAATGTGAAATTATTATGTTTTCATTGAGAGAGACTTACTTGGGGTAGGAATAGAAGTAATGGTGGGGATGACATGGATCAACAAGAACCTATCAGCCTTCGGTAAAAGATTATCGACGGCCCACCGTACGGCACGGCGGCTTCCTGCCCCGCCTAATTTGTCTCCGATCATACCCTTCACGGCCACCGCCACAAACAACTGACCCTCTTCCGCCTTTGGACCACCACCGCCACTCATTTCTTGCGTCAACATCACCACCATCTAATCAATTATACTTACGTATACCACAAGTAACCAAAGAATAATTTGTTTTTCGTGTGACTGATACGATTTTGTTTCTGAAAATCAATGAGGAAATGCAACTGCAGAGATGGGTATCTCTCTGATCACGACTATATTGTATTGATCTCTTTATATATATGAGTCGTTTAGGACCAAGTGTTAAGAAAATGTAAATAAATATATTTGATTAGTAGCCGAACAATGATTGGTCTCTTGGTCTATTTTTTTTCTGTGGTTTGTTTTAATCAATAATTAAAGTCCTAAGATATGTTTTAAAATAAACTTCAACAAACAAAAAATATGTAGAAACGATTTAAACACTCTAAAGTATAAACAAATTACCAACTCTTTTTTTTGTTTTGTTAAAGAACAAATTAACAACTCTTACCAATCATATGTTTTAGTATCACCGAATTTAATGTTTTGTACATGGGGAAAGACTGATTGCATAGTATTGTGACTCCTTTTAATCTCGTATTAAAGAAATATTTGAGTTCAAAATCTAACATTATCAAAAACTAAGTGATTGTAGCCAGGGATGACAACATTACTGATGGGTATCAAGGATTAGTTTATGTATAGATTTTTGAAAGTATATAAGAAAATACGAAGTAGACTCATAGGATTGGATTATATATAATCTGTCTATTGACTTTAGGAACAAACAAAAGATATAAGTTGATCTAATTTGAATTTTGTTGGTAATCACCGATACGGATCTTGCAGTCCTGAATATATAATTTATAGTGAAATATTTTGGCAAACATTATGAAGTAATCGATGGGATGGAAATGGCCTTCAAAGGTTTAAATATTCCATTTAATACTTTTCAAATTAGAAATTTTTTGGACGGCCAATTAGTTAATTATTATTAGTGTGCAGCTTTATTATCCGAAGTCTTCTAGTTCTATCTATATGATATTTGTAGGGTTTAGGTAGAGATTTTTTATGTCTGTGCTAGTTTTATAATATGTATGATACTATGATCTGTTTCACCAATGTGATCAATATAATGTAACCTATATAACCTGAACCATAAAAATATACTTTTCTTTGCTGTTACCATCGAATTATGTATGAAGTAATTTTTAATTTATTTGAATTTTTCTAGCAAGATAATTTAGCTTAGTAAAGCTTTCAGAATAAATAAAATAGTAATTTTCTATCAGAAGATGACATAATTTAGTGTGTTTTTTTCCTGTGCAAACAATGACATAACATTAAAAAAATGACATCTTAGTTACTCTACTAGATTAATCTTGAAGTTGTCTGTGGTCGCAACATGAGCTTAAGTGGTCTGTGGTCGCAACAATCTGAATCTTTTAGTAAAAGGCATGGGATTGATGTGTGGCCTTGTGAGATATATATATAGTCAAATTTGTTCAGGTTAAAATATGGAAATTTTCGGTATTTTTATCGCACACCGTCGATATATTTATATATTAACACACATTATCATTTTGAATACAACATCTTGAATTTTCACGATTCCTTGCACATAATTAGTTGTTTAGGATCTGCTTATCTGATACGGTAACATATCCAAATTTACGATTAATTTAGTCCAAGTAAAAATGTTTTCTAATTTGTAACCAGAAGTTGACCAACTAAAATATTTTTCATTAATTTTTTGCTGACCACAACTGAGAATATACCCGAATAATTAAGGATTAGAAAACTAATAATTCACTGGTCGTTTACGAGAACGACATATTTAAACTAATTAAATATCTTAACCATTGTCGACGTTCTGACTTTGTTTTTTTTTTTTTTGAATCTAATGTTAAATTATATTCAAAAGAAAAAATACGTTGTTACAACAAAGTGCATCGTAAGTTTGAAAGAAATTTGAAAGAAAATTTGAGACCAACAAAAACTAGAAAGCTTTAGAGTTTAAATCCGAGCTTGTAGCCATCTTTGATACGCCGCTTCGTATCGTCTATCTCCTTTTCTTCGAATCATCGAAATCTGGTTTCTGATTAGCTTCTCTATCCATCCCGCTATGATAGTCCCCGAATGAGGCTGTTCATCATGTCTACGACCATTTCTCTCCTTCCAAATCATATAGACGGAAGTTTGAAAGAGATACCTAGTGAGGAAGCTCTCCACCCTATCTTGCTTTGAATTTGAGATGTGATCTATAATATGATCCCAAACTGTTGTGTATTTTGCTTTGAGGATCCCTTTCGCAAGGGCAGCCCATATTTCCTGCGTGTAGTCACAAGAGAAAAAAAGATGATCCCTTGTTTCCACACAAGTGTTACAGAAAACACAAAGTCCCGATCCACCTCCGTTCCAGCGTTGCATACGTTCTCCCGTAGAAAGCCTGTCATGAACTGCTAGCCATACACAAAACGAGTACTTAGGGGTGTCATAAGTGAACCATACCCCTTTGTGCCAAGAGACTGTGGTAGACGTTGTTCTGATGTGATTCCATGTGTCCTTTGTCGAGAAATGTGGTTTGAAAGCATCATTCTTGTCGCGCCAGAGCACACTGTCTACGTTGCCATTTCGTTTTCTCCCCTGTTCAAACAGTATCTCCTCTGTTTCATTTAATAAAGCTGAGCGGTGTCTTCTACGGCGGTGACTGGCCCAAGCTTGCGCCACCGTACTCGTGCTACTGATCCCCAAATCAATGACACCCCTTACACCCGCAGACTCAATTAAACGGCCTAGTCTTGACCAGTGGTCATACCAAAAGGATGTATACTCTCCATTTCCCACTTCCACGCGACAGAAACCCTTCGCCACTTCTCTATGTTTGAGTATTTTTTTCCAAATCCAAGAACCCAAGCTTGTAGTGTTTTTAAGCGACCAGAAAGAAACTTTTTTGAGGAGATTTTCTTTAACCCAAGTAACCCATAGAGAGTTGCTGTTAGAAACTATCCGCCATATCAGTTTCAAACAACAGACCTTGTTTGCTTCCTTAAGTGATCTCAGCCCTAAACCTCCTTCATACTTTGGTTTGCACACTTGTTCCCAGGAAATCTTTGCTTTGTGAGTTCTCATTGCAGCGCCTGACCATAGAAATGCAGAACATAGCTTCTCAATGCTTGCGATACAATCACTGGGAAGCCGATATGCTGCCAGCCAAAAGTTGCAGATACTCCACAAGACTGACGAGATCAAATTCAACCTACCCGCAAAAGAGAGATAACGTGCTGTCCAAGACTCAATGCGTTTCTTAATCTGTTCTATCAATGGTGCATAGTCTGTAGTCGCAAGCCGCTTTGTGACTAGAGGGAGGCCCAAATAACGTACCGGGAGATGTCCAATATCGAAAGAGTAAGCTGCAGCAATCTGTTGAGCCGTGGAGGGTGGGCTGCCAGCTAAATAAAGAGTCGATTTCTCCATACTTATTTTTAGACCTGAAATTTTTGCAAACTCCTCAAAAACCGAGATTATTCCTTCAACAGAGCGAACCTTACCATCATACTTATTTGTTAACTAAGCCTGCAATTTTCTTATACACATACACACAAATATAGATAGATATGATTAGTCCCAAAAAATCGTCGAACAGCAATTGACAGCAGACTTAGATCGATCTTTCGTTTACGAGAAAGAGATGTTACAAATGACATAACTTAGATAACTTATTAAAAAAATATATAATCATTAACACATTCTATATATATTGGCTAGAGCCTAGAGGTCAATCTTTGGTTAATTGTTCCATATTGTAGATGCTATTGCTAACCTATACATAATACATTCAGATTCTTCTTTTTTATATACAGTAAACGCAAATGTAAACGGGAACAAATCAAATAAAACTTCTAATTTGATGTCAAGAAAACGATATCATATATCCCTTTTTTATAGCCAAGCTAGCTGTTTTTTGGGTGTTTATTTAATTTGTATACAATTTATATTTAATTGGAGCGAAATCAAACCAGCGTACATATAGAAGTTTCGAGACATCATCAAAATTATGCACACTACACAAATTATTTTCTAACATCAAACGAAAAACAAATATACTAACCTACCATTACTTAGTTTCGGTTACGTGATACTTTTTAATTAATTTTTATGAGTATTAATGGAGACAACGTTTGTACGAAGGTAAATACTAAACTCCTACATGAAAGTAAAATAATTTTGTCCACAACAAGATTGCCACCCTTCAGAACTAATAGGACGCAAAATCAGTAACTATGATCATTCAGAATTAAAGGTCATCGAACCCTCATCCGCAACTTGCTTCGCTTTGTGCCTTGATCCTTTTTGTAACTCAAATCTCATCATTTGTACAAAAATTAGATCATTGTGTAGCCTTATTTTATTATACTGATGTAATTAGTGTTTATAATTTAATCAAAAAAGTACAACTCTGAGCTTTGCAACGGCTATTTGGCAATTTACAACGGATATGGCGACTTACACTATTTTACTGTGAAGATTGAAGAAAGATATGTGTGAGTCGTTAAGTAAAATATTAGTGAGAACATAAGGTGAATAGACAAGATATGGTCATATCTATCCATAATCAGAGCCGTTTGCTTCCATGCATGATGCAGATATATGTGGATATAAATATTCTTATATACACATAGATAGATAGACGTAAAGAGAGAGAGAGAGAGCAGGAGACAAGAAGAGAGTAAGCACGCAGAGCTTTCGAGCATGAGCATGCTAGAAAAAGGAGCCATGTGTGCTCACTCTCTTCTGTCGCCTATCTTATTATTCACTTACCTCCTTTAGTTGACTTTCTTCATCTTCTTGCATGCATATGATCTTCATGTTATGTTATTAGCCTTGGTCCCTAAACTTACTAGATGATATGCTGATATGATATGAAACAAGGTTGTCTGGTTTTAGGGTTTATATATAAGGATTGCTAGGGGTCTATATATGATGATGCATGCATAGATATCATCATCATCATCCACTGACCACTAGCTACGTTTAATTTATAGAAATATTCCGCCGGATTAAACCCTTATTTCTTGTCAATTTGAGCATGCAAGATTCTCTCTTTTCAATATTATATATAAATAACACATGCCTATAATATACGTACAAACCAAAAGACGACTTAATAGAATTGGAGTGTAACAAATTTTTGAGAGTGAGAGATCCCACTTAAAACGAAATAAACTATTT